GGGGTTTTCACTCCGGCGCCGCAGCAGACGCTTTGACCGCCGCCTCTGTCCCGGGCAGCCGGGATTTCAGCCCCCTTGCGAAAGGCTTGTTCGAAAAACCGGCCTTCCCTGCGCATCCTGCGCCACCTGAAGTTCGATGAAGCGCTCTCATTCACTTTTTTTTTAAAAGCATCCCTTATTTTTTACTTGTATTCTCGTATTACGTTGTCACCTAAAGGCTTACGAGGAACCTCTTTATTCTGCCGCGCTTATTCTCCACTAAAAAGACGACAGAAAAAAACTACGCTGCTTCCCCATACGAGATCTCTGAGACTAATAGAATTCTTTTTCTCTATACCATTTCACTTCTGCTGTGCGCGGCGTGATAAATTTCATGAAACATTACCTTCCAAATATCAGACATACACAGACTAATCCCGATGGAGCTCCCTGAGTAAACAAGCCGCTCTGGCTTGCGGCCAAGTCGTTCGAGAACGACAGCTGATGTTTAAAGGGGGCGACGACATTTTATTAGAAAAGCTATAAACTGCATTGGAATAAGGCTGTTATTGTTTAAAAAAAAAAAAAGCAAAAAACCCAACACAACAACAAAACCCGAAAAACCTGCTTTATTTCATTTTGGAACGACAGGGGGGAAAAACCAAAACACCCTAACTAAACACTGCCGTGCATATTTCTCTGTACTAACTAAAAAACTAGAGCCGAGATAATTACTCTAAAACGAGGAAGGAAAACTTTAATAGCTTTAGAACTTGATTAGGTGCTTAACAATCTTTTTACAGACCTGCCCGATGAACAGTCGGGGTAGGGCACATACAAGACGACCCAAACCATTCCCGGCGCCTTAACACGACAAAGATTTTTCCTACTATTGAACAGCACGCCCTAGCCGGGGAACTAAAGCAGCGCTAAACACAAGTACCACTCACCGAACCGAATCAGTGAACGACTCTTTTACTGAATATGTGGGTGGCTCTTAAAAGAGCCTTTGGGTTAAAACTGACGATCCGAGACGCCCTACTTGGAGTTGGTGTACTGGGTGACGGCCTTGGTGCCCTCGGAGACGGCGTGCTTGGCCAGCTCGCCGGGCAGCAGGAGCCGCACGGCCGTCTGGATCTCCCGCGAGGTGATGGTGGAGCGCTTGTTGTAGTGCGCCAGGCGCGAGGCCTCGCCGGCGATGCGCTCGAAGATGTCGTTGACGAAGGAGTTCATGATGCCCATGGCCTTGGACGAGATGCCCGTGTCGGGGTGCACCTGCTTCAGCACCTTGTACACGTAGATCGAGTAGCTCTCCTTCCTAGTCTTTCTACGTTTCTTGTCGCCCTTCTTCTGCGTCTTGGTCACGGCTTTCTTGGAGCCCTTCTTGGGCGCGGGGGCGGACTTGGCCGGCTCGGGCATTATGATCAATCTTTCACTACGCTTCCGCTAAAAAACTTACGGTCGCGGACGGAAAATCAGCGTGAGCGCACGCCTTTTATAGGGACCGCATGCAAATTAAGGTTTCGTCTAGCCTTAGTTTTTATTGGTTGAGGGAGGTTTTCACAGTCAGAGCTCTCCGTAGTTCATTGCCATTGGTTACAATTCGATCCGCGTTCCCATTGGCTGCTTTCTCAGTGTCACCTTCTCAGCCTATCGAAATTCGCTCCTTTCGCTGAGAAGGGATATAAGGGCGAGTTGCTTTCATTTTTCTACAGCTCTTGCTACCGGGTGCTGAGTCGCTGCGATGTCGGGCCGCGGGAAGCAGGGCGGGAAGGCGCGGGCCAAGGCCAAGTCGCGCTCGTCGCGGGCCGGGCTGCAGTTCCCCGTGGGCCGCGTGCACCGGCTGCTGCGCAAGGGCAACTACGCGGAGCGGGTGGGCGCCGGCGCCCCGGTGTACCTGGCGGCCGTGCTGGAGTACCTGACGGCCGAGATCCTGGAGCTGGCGGGCAACGCGGCCCGCGACAACAAGAAGACGCGCATCATCCCCCGCCACCTGCAGCTGGCCATCCGCAACGACGAGGAGCTCAACAAGCTGCTGGGCAAGGTGACCATCGCGCAGGGCGGCGTGCTGCCCAACATCCAGGCCGTGCTGCTGCCCAAGAAGACCGACAGCCACAAGGCGAAAAGCAAATAAACCAAACCTGAGGGGTGTTCCCACCTCAAAAGTAACCCAAAGGCTCTTTTTAGAGCCACCCACTTCCTCGTAAAAGGAGCTGTAGATCCTAGCCAAAGGAAAAAAAAAAAAAAACAACAAAAC